TTGTTTTATGTTGAGGTGTAATCCATACTGAAGGCTGTGGTCTCCAATCACCAGTAATCAGTAATTGCTTTAAGTCCTCTCCACTTTCAGCAAGCAAGGTTGTGTCATCTGCATAACACAGGCTGTTAGTCTTCCCCCAATCCTGATGCCCCATTCTTCACATAGTCCAGCCTCTCAGATTATTTGCTCAGCATACAGACTGAGTAAGTATGGTGAAAGGATACAACCCTGCTGCACACCTTTCCTGACTTTAAAACACGCAGTATCCCCTTGTTCTGTTTGAATGAGTGCCTCTTGATCTATCTACAGGTTCCTCATGAGCACAATTAAGTGTTCTGGAATTTCCATTCTTTACAATGTTATCCATAATTTGTTATGATCCACACAGTCAAATGCCTGTGCATAGTTGATAAAACACAGGTAAACACCTTTCTGGTATTCTCTGCTTTCAGCCAGGATCCATCTGACATCAATGATATCCCTCATTCCACGTCCTCTTCTGAATCCTGTTTCAATTTCCGGCAGTTCCCTGTCGATTATACTGCTGCAGCCACTTTTGAATGATCTTCGGCAAAATTTTACTTGTGTGATATTAATAATATTGTTTGATAATTTCCACATTCGGTTGGATCACCTTTCTTTGGGAGAGGCATAAATATGGGTGAATCTCTTCCAGTCGGCTGGTCAGGTAGCTGTCTTCCAAATTTCTTTGCATAGACTTGTGAGCACTTTCAGCACTACATCTGTTTGCTGAAACACCTCAGTTGGTATTCCATCAATTCCTGGAGCCTTGTTTATTGCCAATGCCTTCAGTGCAGCTTAGACTTCTTCCTTCATTACCATTGGTTCCTGATCATATGCTGCCTCCTGAGCTGGCTGAATGTCAACCAACTCTTTTTGGTATAGTGACTCTGTGTATTCCTTCCAACTTGTTTTGATGTTTCCTGCATTGTTTAATAATTTCCCTGTAGAATCTTTCAATATTGCAACTCGAGGGTTGAATTTTTTCTTCAGTTCTTTCAGCTTAAGAAATGCCAAGCGTGTTCTTGCCTTTTGGTTTTCTAACTCCAGGTCTTTGCACATGTCATGTCATTATAACACTTTGCCTTCTCGAGTCATCCTTTGAAATCCTCTATTTAGCTCTTTAACGTCATCATTTCTTCCTTTTGCTTTAGCTACTTGATTTTCAAGAGCAAGTTGCAGTGTCTCTTCTGACATCCATTTTGGTCTTTTCTTTCTTTCCTGTCTTTTTAACGACCTCTTGCTTTCTTTAGATATGATGTCCTTGATGTCACTCCACAACTCACCTGGTCTTCAGTCATTAGCGTTCAATGTGTCAAATCTACTCTTGAGATCGTCTTTAAATTCAGAAGGGATATACTCAAGGTCATACTTTGGCTCTCGTGGACTTGTTCTAACTTTTTTCAGTTTCATCTTAAACTTGCATATGAGCAATTGATTGTCTGTTCCACAGTCAGCCCCTGGCCTTGTTCTGACTGATGATATTGAGCTTTTCCCTCGTTTCTTTCCACAGATGTAATTGATTTGATTCCTGTGTATTCCATCTGGCGAGTTCCACATGTATAGTCACCGTTTACGCTGTTGAAAAAAGGTATTTGCAGCAAAGAAGTCGTTGGTTTCACAATATTCTATCATGCAATCTCCAGCATCATTTCTATCACAAAGGCCATATCGCCAACTTTCACATTCCAATCACCAGTAATTATCAATGCATTCTGATTTTGGGATAGATCTTGAAATGTTCTTTTTGATGATGAATGCAATGCCATTCCTCTTCGGTTTGTCACTCCCAGCAAGTAGACCATATGATTGTTCAATTCAAAATGGCCAATACCAGTCCATCTCAGCTCAGTAAGGCCTAGGATATTGATGTTTATGTGTTCCATTTCATTTTTGATGACTTCCAATTTTCCTAGATTCATACTTTGTACATTCCATGTTCCAATTATTAATGGATGTTTGCAGCTGTTTCTTCTCATTTTGAGTTGTGCCACATCAGCAAATGAAGGTCCCGAAAGCTTGACTCCATCCACGTCATTAAGGTTAACTCTACTTTGAGGAGGCAGCTCTTCCTCAGTCATATTTTGAGTGCCTTCTAACCTGAGGGGCTCATCTTCTGTCACTATATGAGACAATGTTCCACTGCTATTCATAAGGTTTTCACTGCTAATTCTTTTCAGAAGTAGATCGCCAGGTCCTTTGTCCTAGTCTTTCTTAGTCTGGAAGCTCAGCTGAAACCTGTCCCGCCATGGGTGACCCTGCTGGTATTTGAATACTGGTGGCATAGCTTCCAGCATCACAACAACATGCAAGCTCTCACAGTACGACAAACTGACAAATGCCTGCGGCTATAAATAATAGTAGGATTAACAGTATTTCATTTTGGATCATGTAATTCTCCTTTTTCATGTATAAATTAATTTTTCCATCTTCTTTTCTTTCTTAAGTTGCCCTCTCTGGTTATAGAATTCACTTTAGAAAATAAGGAAAACCATAAAGAAGAAAATGCACCCCGAGTGAAAGGCTTTGAATCTAGGTTTAAGAATCTTTTCTTCTGATCCTTAGGGCAATGGAAAGTTTCTCTAAGTCTAAATGAACTAAAGTCATAGCTTTCAAGGGTACACCATCCAGAAACTCAGACATAACCTCCCTTATGTTAAGATACTTAACAGACACTTTAAACACTGTTTCTTGTTTGTTTATATATATGTATATGTATATATATTTGTCATTTTGTGGTGGATTGTGTGTTATGATACTGGAAGCTATGTCACTGGTATTTCAAATACCAGTGGTGTCACCCATGGTGGACAGATTTCAGCAGAGCTTCCAGACTAGGAAGAAAAGCCTGGTGATCTACTTCCAAAAATTAGCCAGTGAAAACTCCATAGATCACAACAGAATAGTGTCCAATATAGTGCTGGAAGATGAGCCACCTAGATTGAACAGCACTTAAAATACACAGTAGCTGCAACAATGGATTCGAGCATACCAACGATCATGAAGATGGGGCAAGACCAGGCAACATTTCGTTCTGTTGTACATGGGGTCACCATGAGTCAGAGCTGACTTGTCCACAACCAACAACAACATACATACACCAGGGGCTGGCAAACTTTGGCCAATCCAGCTCACAGCCTGTTTCTGTAAGACCAATGAACTAAGAATGGTTTTTACATTTGTAAAGAGTTTAAAAATAAAACAAGAGTAATATTTTGTGACCCATGAAAGATATGAAATTCAAATTTCAGTGTTCATAAATACAGTTTTATTGGAACATAAACATGCCCATTTGTTTACATACTGTCTATGGCTACAAGACAGACTGAATAATTGTAACAGAGACTCTATGACCTTCAAAGCTTAAATTATTTATTATCTGGCTCTTTAAAGAAAATGTTTGCCAAACTCTGGTATACACTCATGAGTCCCTGCGAGTAGAGTCAGATTTATTGGATATAAAGCATATGAAACCAGTTGTCTAAGGACTTAGAGTCTAATTGGTAGACATGTTATCGAAGTGATCATCAAAACCACTTTAGGAGAGGTGTTCTGCATCAAATGCAGATACAAGCCAATGAGATGGCTAAGGAAGAGGCAGAGTCTTGTCATTCCTCAGCTCAAAATTCTCCAGTAGCTCTCCTTTATCTAGTTCTAAAATCCTTTGCTTGGCATTCAAAGCCCTTGAGGATTTTTGGCTACATTCCTTTCTGCTCTGCGTCATTTAATTATTTTCCTGAACACCATGCTCTCTTATGCCTCTGTGCCTTTGTACGTACTGGTGCCTCCAACTACATGCCTACCTAACCAACCCTCTCATCCTTCAAATCTCAGCTCCTGAAATCTTCCTGACTGTCCTAGGAGACTCTGGTGGTTCCACTGCATTCTGTACCTACCTTCACTGTAGCAATTATCTTGCACAGTGATTGGTTATTTGCATGCCTGTTTTCCCAACAAACTGTTAAGTTCCTCGATGGACAGGCATTGTCTTTTTTCATCCTTATAACCCCAGCAGAATACCAAACTCATAGTAGTAAGTAGACAGCCAGTAAGTATTTGTTGAATGAATGAAATTAAAAAAACAAAAAATCATTAAATCTAAAAGTGAATTATATTTGGCTCCTAAATTCTCTGCTTTGCCTAAACCCCCTACCCCAAGCTGAGGCCCATTTCTTGCAGCTATGCAAAGTTCCTAGCTCCACTGCAAAAGGGGCACTGGGTTATTCTGATTGTCTCTTATTGGTAAAACAGGGTGCGAGTTGGCTGGAGCCCTAAACTTAAAACATAAATTAACAAAGTCTGACTGGCAACAACTTGAAACCAGCAGGACTGGTAAAAAGTTGCAAAGGAGACCGCGGGAGGATTGGACAGAAGGGATTCAGGGCAAGATCCATCCTGGTGGAGGAAAAACCTAATTACTTCCAGTGGGTTTCATTAATTCCTGTAACCTGCTTTCAAGAACTCAAAAGTGTAAGAAGAGAACAAAAATCTAACATGCAAACCTGCCTATCGCTTGGACAATTTCCTGTGTAGGAGTTAGCTGTTTCAAACTGATCAGGCCCGAACATTCTTCTCTGGCTTGATGACTCATAGCATTAAGGCACTCCCTGCAAATTGTAACATTTCAGGCAACTAAGTCAGAGCTGGAAAGGCCAACTCCAACATGTTCCCCACACAGAGTTAATCAACACCCTAAGCGCCATCCATTCAGAGCATCATTTCCTGCAAAGTTAAAGTGGAAGGTCTTTTGGAGTTCATTCATTCATTCATTCAACAAACTTCTGCTGCGCCCGCCCTTTGTGTTTGGGGGATAGAGGAAGTGAATAGACCCGAGAAAAGGGCAACACATGCCAGGAGGAACGGGGCCACACAGGCGGTGGCGCAGATTCCCAGAGGAGAGGTCGCGGCGGGGAAGCGCAGCGGGGACGAAAAGAGGAGTGGGCAACGGGGCGAGGGGTAGGCTGGAGACTGAACGCTACCTGGGGGCGACCGAGTAAGGTTTTGGCCCTCCGAGTTGACCGCCTGCAGGTAGAAATAGCGGACGGGCAGAACGACATCCGCCTGCAGCCCCGGCCCCCACACCAGGCTCCGCGGTGCGTTCACCGGCGCCTCGGGGGCCCCCGTGGCCACGAGCACGACTAGCTGTAGCGGCAGCAGGGCCCTGAGGAGGCGACGCATGGTCGCCGGGGCAGCTGAGGTCCTGCTCTGCGGTGGCGGGGAGGGGCCCGGAGCGCCGCAGGCCCGGGCTAAGGCCCACCCGGGGGCGGGCCTGTCCGCGGCCGCTCGCCGTCCCGCCTGCCCGCCCCGGGACTCTCTGGGCAGGAAAGTGAGGAAACACGGTCATCACCGGCCTTGCGCACTGTGGAGGGGGAGCAATGGAAACACGCCCTCTGCCCCCAGCCGGTTGGTTGGACGGGTAAAGGGATCGAGAGCTGGACACTCAAGCACCAAGGTGCGATTCAGCGTCGTTGCACGCCTGGCCTCCAAGTCTGGTTGCTTGAATTTGTCAGCGATTTAGAGAAAACCGTTTTCAAAGGGCGCAAACACAGTGGTGGCTGCTGTGGGAGAGAGAGGACTCCGCCGCGAAGAACTGTGTAGTTTAGGGAAGTGGCTTTCGCCAAGGAATTTCACTGGGTTTACAAGGTGCAGAGCAAATGTCACCCCCCTACGCGCGCACACACGCACCCACACACGCGTCACCTCTCACAGCCCTCTGTTCACACCTTACAGACTGTGTTGTACTGTTACCTGTGTTGTTTTTTCTCAGCTGTTGTCCTGTCTGGACTGTGATGCCTGCTCCCCTCCCCGCCCAGACACACACACACACACATTCTGCTTCTTTCAACAAATGTTTACTGAGCATCCACTGAGTTTGGACTGAGCCCTGAGGGGCATGCTAGACACAGTAGTGAGCAGAAGGTAGGGTTGTGGCCCTACCCTGAGCCTGGTAGATGAGCTTCATCTCAAAGCCAGAAACCTCCTGTCTCCTGTAATCAGTGAGGAATGGTTAGTCTTGTCCATTCTTCACTGCTCCTCAGAGGCTGGAAGTTGGATTCAGGAAGAGGCTGGCAAGGGCCCAAGAGCCGGAAGCCCCAGTCTGTCTTTTTTAGCAATACTGAGTCTGTATCAATCTGTTTTCTTTCTCTTCTTAATCCATCTCTTAAAAAGTGTATCTCTAGATTAACCAATGCTTTGACCAGATTCTTTATCATAAATAAAGTTTCATTCATTCAATAAACATTTTTTCCAACACCTGCTATGTTTTAGATGTTCTAAGTACAGGGCAACAATGATGAATATGATAGTCTTTGACTTCAATACTCCTATAGTTTAGTGGAGAAGAAAGACAAGAAGCAATGTAAATAGTGTGATGGGTGCTCTACTATGGGTATTAAGAACTGTTCAGGATCTCAGATTTTACCCTATTTACAAGCTAACTAGTTAGCCTGATAACTGTTCCATGGATGCCGTCAAAAGGCTCCTGGGTCAGAGACTAAAGACTTCATTACTCACTGCAAAAGTAGTAGTCAGAGCTTCATATTGGTTTGATTTGTTTCTCCATGCCCCACCCCCAAATTCTACGGAGCAGCGAAAAGGCCTATCATGGATGTCTGAAGCAGGTTGCATTACAGAAGAGGCACACTGAGCTTAGGGGAGGTACCACTTTTAGAATAAGTGGAATCAAGCCTACTCTTTGTCGGTAGAGAGATGTTAGCTCATCCCTCAAGGCTGCTTGCTGCAAACACAACCCTGAGAAATGGCCTGGATAGAGTGGCCTTACATTCTCGGCATATCCAGAAAGAATCTTCAGGGATGTTCAGGGCCCATGACAGATTGCCTCTCCCAACAAAAGGTTGAAGGTCAAATAGGAATGAATAGTATAAAGAGGAGGAGGAGGGCATTGAGGCAGGAGAGATGGCTTTACCAAACTTGACCCATTTCAGAAAGGTTCATGTGACCCTAATACTCAACATGTTTTCTCCTTTTCAAAATGGGCAACTGAGAGCTTGACATAACCATGATCAACCTATAAGTTCTTTTTTTTCTTTTTTACCGGTCTTTTCCTTTCCACATACCTTTGTTAATGACTTTGCTTTGCTCTGCTTGGCCACCTATGACTGATGACCCCTCACAGGAAGATTAGAGCCCAGATGTCTGACATGTATATCTTCAGCCTGATAAGGAGACCTCCGGCATGTATCTCTTTAGTCTGATAAACAGTCTCTCGTAATTACCTTGTAATGAATAACTCATCTGGCCACGCCATCCACAGGCTACAAAGACACTTCTAACCTTTGTAAAATAATCATATATAAACTCCAATGTAAAAATGCCTTTTGGGACTCCATAGAGACAGCGTGCGTTGCTGTCAGACTCCCCACTGGTGGATACCTCCTAAATAAATTTTCTCACTCTTTTTGACTTGGAGTACGTTTCATTGGCTTGACTGCTCTAGGGCACAGACCCTAATCGAGCAACAGTTCACATCCCCTTCACATTCAGATCCATATTGAGCTTCAATCTCACACATAGAATTGTAGTTTCTGTGTGACTCTGGAAGGTCTAGATTCAATAAACGTTTACACATTGTACTAGCCCCTGGAATTACACTAAAGTCATGTAAAATTGCCACCTACTAATTGTCTACTCAATGCTACGTTTCCACCTTTTCTGGTAATTGCTTCTCTTTTTTATACTATCTACATGGTTAGCAGTGAGGCTTTCTAAAAGATGACCTTAACCCATGGTCACAGTTGATTGGCCCATGGTTTGGAGCCTGCCCCATGCTGAACCAGTCAGAATCCTTTTCCTGGGAATTTAAAATCAAGGTTAGGAGATTTCAACTTGTAACTGACTTTTCTCTTAAACAGATGCAATGTTAACTTTGCCATCGTCTGCCTTGTAGACTAAAAATGGAGCAGAAATATAGAAAACCCTCCGAGTTCCCATCATGTGCTAGGCCCTGGTACAATTCATTTTTGCGGCTGAGCTGCCACAATTCACAAATTCCTCTTTTAACTTTAGAGAGTTGTCTCATTTTCAATGTCATTAATTAATAAAATTCTTACATAGGGTTAGACCAGCTTAGATCCCAAAAATGCATATAATTTTAATTACTTCAATAATATTTACTCAGCACTCACTTTATGACATGCATTCTGCAAGGTGCTAGGGATATAAATTCAGTCCCAGCCCCTCCAGGTACTACAGCCCATAGGATGGATTTTAGATTATGGGACAATTGGTTTAAATGTTAAATTGCATCCAGAACCTCACAATATAGGGGTATTTCCTCCTAAAATATAACTACTCTCTGGTCCAGCCTGAGTCAGGCACTTATCCTAGAACCAATCCATCGTGACAAGGAACTTAGGGTCATGGAAGCATATTGATTCTTCCACAGTCTACATGTGTCCTAGGCTGAGGAAGTATCAGTCAGAGTTCCTAGAGGAAAAAAAAAGAAGTGTCTACTGGACAGACAATTGTATCAATATCCACTAACCTGTTAAACCATATCCTTTGCCATCAAGTTGATTCTGACTCATAGTCACCCTATAGGACAGAGCAGAACTACCCCATAGGTTTTCCAAGGCTGCAATCTTTACGGAAGCAGACTGCTACATCTTCCTCCTGTGAAGCCACTGGTGAGTTTGAACTGCTGGCCTTTCTGTTAGCAACTGAGTGCTTAACCGCCGTACCACCAGGGCTCCTTTCAATGCCCACTACTTACTTCCAGAACATTTCCAGAAGTACTTCCAAGTTTACCCTGGACTTGAATGACAGCATAATCCAGAAGGGATGGTGGGGACAAATAAATACGGTGATTCAGAGGATCGGCTCAGTCAACTTCCTGATTCCGCATCTTCCTGGTCATAACAGAGGCAGCAGCTCCCTTGGCAGTCCAATTTCACAGCATGGTTTTAGGAACTGGTCCTAGAATTTCAGCTTGAAATCTATTCCCTCAACCCTCTGAGTTTGTGAGCAAAGTATAAACCCCAAAACCCACTACTATCAAGTTGATTCTGACTCATAGAGCCGACTGCCACATCTTTCTCCCATGGGGTTGCTGGTAAGTTCAAACCAACAACCTTCCCGTTAGCAGCGAGTGCTTAAACACTAAACCACCAGGGTTCAAGCAAAGCATACTGTTTAATAAATCCTTTTCTATTCAAACCAACTGAAGTCTATTGTCTACAACTAAAAATGCTGGCTGATACATTTTTAAATTTTAATAAAGGACAGTAAAGTTATTTTTAATGAAATACTGTTCACATTCAAAATGATGACACTGACCTATTCTTAGTAGAGGAAGGGCTTTGAGTTGCTTTTCTAGAAAAGTGGAAGATGACTACAACTTTATTAATCAATTTGTTTAGCACTTATCTTTCATCAGTGCCACTGAGCAGTGGATGACCCCCAACTCCATGTAGCTTCCTCTTCCTCTATAAATCTGAGAACCTCCAGACAGAAATGCTAAGCTTCTTCATTCTGCCTCTATTATGCAACCAGGCACATTGTTCTGATGTTGGTGGGTTGCTTTTTGGTATAAATAAAAGAAGAAGAGAGAAATAAGCTACTCTTTTTTAAAACCACCCATATGATTGATCTCATTCAATAGCCACCAAAAAGATTTATTTGAATACTTTTGCCTTTAAAAAAAAAACTTCCTGAAACTTTCACACTTAAAAATAGTCACTTGAGGATCCGAATAAAAACCAGTTAAAACAGTGGACCTGTTTAAATCATTTATTTCAACACTGGCATCATTTTAAATTTGCACCTTGTCTTGTAACACATTCCATACCTACAGTACAGGTTTGAGAACTACATAAAAGGGTTATTTGGCAAAGCTTTAACAAAAGCGCACAAGGCTTATTTGTTTCAGAAATATAGAATTGCCAGTGACAAACAGCCACTATGTGGTAATATATCCACAAAGTTGCTTAGACAGTAAAATATTTACATATTTACACTATACATTTAAATGGAATATTCTGAAGTATTATTGTTAGTATTGACAATATACTATTAGCAAAAAGACCTCTTTACCCCTCTGGCATTCAACAGAGAATTTCCTAATTTGATACCCATCTTTACCATAACCAAAGTGGGCTTTCTTCTACCACATCTTATCTCCTACACAAGGCAGTTTTATCACCACACACTTATTAATAGCAGTTGGAGTTTTATTAACACCAATGTATTTACAATGTAAGCTTCAATTATTTTGAGGGAAGTCTCTAAAAATTAAAATAATCTCATTAAACCTTGTTTGAAATGGACTTAACAGTGTAAAATTTATGGTTAGAGAAGTCCATTATTTAAACAAGTTTATTATGCCAAGTATTTATTAGAATTGATCCCTCATGATTTACTCCACTTATGTGAATATTTATTTCAATAATGATTATATCTTTTAGAAAACAAGTTCTGACTATAAAAATGATTATAAATTATCACAGCTATAACAAAAAAAGAACATTAAAAAAGCAGCAGTTTATATGTTAAAATACATAGAAATTTGCTATACTTCTTTAATGAAGTACTTCATAAAAATATAAAACTATAGAAGGTGCTATTTTCTTGAATTTTCTGTTTTCTTGATTCTCAAATCAGACCAGCAAGTAGACATTACAAACAGTGCAATTGAGCACTGGCCATCAATTACCTCTGAATTCAGATGGTATATTCCAATGCAGAGAATCTGGGCCCCAAAGCAGTTGTTTCGCTTTACCTTAACTTACCTAGCTGCTGATATAGGCTCAATTCACTGAAAAATAAGCTAACTTCATTTCACCTTTTGTAGCAAACCTATAGACTCAAGAGTACTTACTGAAACAGAGCTTGCAAGCTGATCATTAAAAAAAACCAAGCATCTTAACAGTAAAATATTAACTCTGAATACCTTAAAACTACATAGAAAACATAGGTCATGGTTTATGAAAATTTACTTAAATAATCAGAAAAACAGACAAAAAAGACAAGGGTGGAATTTACAAACATACATAAAACAAAGAATAAAAATGTTATTCTTTACCATATAAATTTGAGTTGACCAGTTAGAATAGTTGATTTAAAATCCTACCGACAGTCCCTTTGAGCTCAAGATTGATCAGAGCCTGAAGTTTAAGACAATTTACAGGTTTAAGGAATAGTGTTCATGTTAGTTACTACATCTTCATTACTTTTGAGTTTCATGGGAGTGATGTAAACTAACCCTGGCATTTTGCTTCCAGGCAAGGCAATGATGAAGAGGGTAATAATAATATAGTGCCTTGTTCCATTCATATCTGTTCCAGATCTCTACACACTTCACCAACACCTATCATTATCCTTAATTTATATAGATGAAACAGACTAGGTGAGATACATGAAAAAGAGAACTAGGTCAGAAAGCATATATAAGCCAGGAAAGATGAAACCCATTCATGTTGCCTCACAGTATTGAGATCCAGGGTGAGATGCTTTATATAGTTCCAGCAAATCATCCTTATCACCATCTATCGGTCTTTGCCCTGAATTAAAACAAACAAACAAAAAAACAAACCCATTGCCACTGAGTTCATTCCGACTCATAGTGACCCTGTAGGACACAGCAGAACTGCCCCATAGGGTTTCCAAGGCTGAAATCTTTATGGAAGCAGACTGCCACATCTTTCCTCCGTGGAGCAGCTGGTGGGTTCAAACCACCGACCGTCCAGTTAACAGCCGAGAGCACTTTAACCACTGTGGCACCAGGGCTCCTTACCCTGAATAAGAAGGAGAGAAATCACCAACACTTCTGCATGACAAATAATAAGGAAAGCCAAATTATCAGTGGATATCAAGTTATTCAGTCTAGATTAATTATTGAAAAAAATCATTGTGACCAGCTCTTAGGAGCTCTGCCTTAGAATTTCCCAAAGGTTTGATAAATGCTGCTGTAGAGCAGCCTGTGAACCCCAGGGTGTCAGATCTGACTTGGCTGCATTTTGGGGATTTGGCCATGGCTTCCACTTGTTACTTGCAACTAAGATGCCCCACCTGGAAAGTAGTAGTTACGTCCTATAAAGAGAATGGGAAAATGGATGTTGTTGTGTGGCATCCAGTCGATTCTGACTCCTAGCGATCCTACACAACAGGTAGAACTGCCCCATAGGATTTCCTAGGCTGTCATCTTTACAGAAGCCAACTGCCACATCTTTCTCCCGCTGAGTGTCTGGTGGTTCAAACTGCCTTTCGGTTTGCAGCCAAGTGCTTAACCTTTGTGCCACCAGGGCTCCTGGGGAAATGGGTTAAAAAAAAAATGTTGCCATCGAGTCAATTCCGACTCATAGTGACCCTACAGGACAGAGTAGAACTGACCCAAAGGGTTTCCAGGGAGCGGCTGGTGGATTTGAACTGCCGACCTTTCGGTTAACAGGCCAGCTCTGAACCACTGCACCACCAGGGCTCCAGGGAAATGGATAGCTCCGGGAAAATGGGGAAAAACTAGTTGCTGAGAAAGCCTGCAGTAAACCTGAGTCAGCCTCATGAAGAGAGATTTACTTATCTCTGCCTCTCAGTTATGCTCCCTTCATAAGCAGAATTTCTGCAGCTCAGCTACCATCTGTGCAGTCAGGTTGCCTGGCCTACGTCCTTAGCTTGATTAATTCAGCCCTTAAGAATTTAGCCAATTCCCACAAACTCAGAGGAATTCCTAGGAGCATTAATGTTCTACTGGCTAGTTAGGGATTCAGCTTTTCACCTGTCACCTCAACATGCTCTTCAGACATGTGTTTCCCTGGCTCTTCTATGGACATAAGAAGATGTTCTTAATAAAAATCCCCTTATCTTTGTTTGAAAGGAGAAAGAAAAAAAAAAAACCTCTAAACCTCCTAAATGCTGATGAGTCAAACAGGATGATAATATTTACTCTATTATCATGATCCCTACATTTTATTTAATGTCATGAGTATAGGGTGTGGATGGGAAGAAGCAATACAGAGTTTTGTGCTGGATAATTAATAAGCTTATGTGCCCAGGATAGTAGGACTGTAAATCACAATGAAAGGTGTAAAATGTTAGGGAAAAAAATGAAGCAGAAAGCCAAAATCGGACAGTGCATTAGAGATTCAGCTGGGGGGTAATAAAGGAAGGCCAAGGAAATATATGGGGGGCAGAAAACAGAGCCCTCGAAACAGCATTCATTGTGCTAGAATTCAGGAATGTATCTACAGGGTGTGGAGCAAAAAAAAAGGAAACCTAAGCTCTTTCCAAGCAGGCAGTGCCCAGATTAGATCTTTTATATCTGTCCTTCCCATGAACATACACATTTATACTTTATTACGAGATTTTGACAAGGTTATTTGTTTTATTGAAAAAGAAACAAAAAACTTCACAGTTCTGACTCTTTGTCATTTTCATCTAGGTAGTATTCATCATCTGTGGTTGTGTCTGTATCACAAGCTGAGTCCACTGGGTCCTCCTCATAGATATTAAGCAGTTCAGCAGGAGATAAGCCACCATCTGGCATCTGACTGCTAGGAGAATTCGAGCTTAATGACTCTGATGGGTTCGGAGGGTTAATTATATCGTCTTTCAGGAAGCCAGGGTTCTTAAGAAAACTTGGTTTCCATAATCTTCCTTGTGTGAGTGACCTCTTTACATTCTCCAAGAAAGCCAATTGTTGTTCTTTCCCAAAAATCCCATAGTCAATAGGTCTGGATATAGATGTTGCAGGCTTGCGACCTGTTTTTGTCCTGTCGCTATACAAAGCCCAATTTTCACTTTCATCACAGGAGGGAAATTCGGAAAAGGATCTGAACCTTCGACTAAACCCATTGTTGATAGAGAACTCATTCCCAAGGGTCAGTCGACTCAGGGCATTGTCAATAGACGTGTTTTCAGAAAAATGGCGCTCTCTGACTTTTGGAGGGTGATTTTTGTGTAGCTTATCACCATGTACACTGATGTTTTTTAAGCTCTTTGAACGATAGAGGTGTGGCTCAAGTTCCCACTCAGGAGATGACGTACTCCTTTGTTGCTGCTGACAATTGGCCAGTGGAATGCTTACTGTAGGAGACTTGCATGCAGGCTCCAATGGACAAGGAGGGCTCAATCTCTTCTGATGGTCAGAGAACGCTGCTTCCCTGAGGCTGATGAATGTGGGCTGGTCCAGACTTACTGACTCTCTTTCCAAAGTCTGAGCTACTGTTACATCTATAGAGTCCTCATTCTTTGGTAGTGACTCTGAGATATTCTTAAACTCATTCCAACGTGTTTGTGAAATGTTGATGTTAGACTTCTGATCACTTAAGTGTGTAGAAGGTTCTCTGTTGGCTATTACAGTAACCTGGAGAGGGGTCTCAAATTTCTCCACATCAACTCCATCATTACTCAACCTTCTGCTTTCATCTGTGGATTCTGCAGATGTTGGAGTGGGTTCAGGGGTCAGGGGAGTGGTTTCTGGTGTGCTGGGAGCTAAACCTCCAATACCAGACCTGCTCTCACTTTCAGTGAAAATAGTAGCTACATGTTTTCTGGGGCTTAAATTTGTAACAGGGAATTTTCTGCTTGCTTTGGACATGGCAGCCAATTTGTGTTTAACTGAAGACCTGTTTTTTCCTTTTTCTAGGTCATCCAAACTGGCTACATTTTCATTACTCCCTCCAGGAAGTGAAGGTTGATCCCATGCCAATCTCTGTTTTTCATCTTTAGCCTTCCTGCACTCTGTCATGTTTACCTCTTGACTTCTTTGAGGCAGTTCTTTGGGTTCAGACTGCAAACTCTCTATATCTCGTCTACCTGAATAAGTCTCCTCATCAAATTGTAGTTTATGCAAAGCTAGAGTAACAGCAAAGGTATGGTTTTCTGAGTCAGAAAGTGCTTTATCAGTCATTTGTGGGCAATGTGTTCCAACTTTCCCTCTTACTTCACTAGTCTGCAACCCACTGGAGCTATCATCTTCAGCTATGGCTGTGCTGATACCTTGCTGAGGACATTTTCCACTTCCAGTAGATGTAATAGCAATACCACTACCCACATTCTCCCCAGAACTTCTTACAGTTTCAGACTTTTCAACATTATCTTCTGAAGGGGCTGGGAGACTAGAGGGACGACCATTACTTGATTTAATGGATTGTTGACAATTTTCCAATTTTTCTTCTGTAAATTCTTTTTCCTGAAGCATTAATGAAGTACGCAGGGTTTCTCTTTGTAACTTTTTTCCTTTCTTTTTCCTGCTTCGTGAATCACTTAGAGGTGCTTTAGTAAAGTTATCTGGAAAAATCTCTCTAGTTTCAGATTCTCCTTTAGGGAGAGAAACACCTGCCTCAACAGAAGTCATTTCCTGTAATGTAGGCTCTGAGGACCCACTATCTGGTAATTGTAAAACAGTCACATTTTCAGTGGTGTGAGAAATATAAGGGCTGTTCTCCTGAGCAGACTTAACCAGCATCTTTCGATCTTCAGATGAAGGTGTTCCTGACTGCTCTTGTGTAGAATAATTTAGTTTATCGTTTTGTGAAGCATTAGAAAATGCTTCAGTCCCCACTTTGGGTGATTCTGTAATTGAATTGGTATTTTGTGTATACTTTTCAAGGAGGTTACAGAATTTTTTGCTGTGTTTCCTTGGTAGAGTATAATATATCGAAACCACCTCAAGATATTTTATATTATCATCATCACCAGAAACAGAAAACATGCTAGTGGTTTTATACTTATGTAATGTTTTCCCACTTTCCTTTCCTGACACTTCTGAGGAAAAAGGTAAAGGATCTTCATTTGGAAGGGAAAATATACCTGTCCTGGAGGCTGCAATTTTACCATCATTTTCAGCGCATTCTTGAGAGTATTCTTTTTGGTGGTGGCTTTTAGTTAAAGAACAATCCTTAACAGATGAGTCACTTTCCAGAGTGTTAATGATTCTCTCCCAAGGCCTTGGTGATACAGCAGAAGCATCGGTATCCAAGACTGAGTGTTTTTCTCTTTCATCACTTCCAATTGAGGAATATGGCTCCCCTGAAGGACATGACAGAGCCCTCCTGATGAGGAAAGGAAGTGGTTCTTTTCTAACAGAAGCAGATCCAGTGATTTTCATATTTGTCATCCACTTTGCAGCTGCAGGTATTACTGGAGCTGAGTCTGAAACTGCTTTGGAACATTCACTGTCTGACTCAGGAGAACTGGGACTGAATTTGTTTGATGTGTACTTCCCGATTGGATCTTCCGCATTGTTTTTGATTTGGAATGGAAGAGGACCATTACTAAATGAAGCAGCCATTACCTTACTTTCTGATTTCCTTCTATTAATGAGAAAACTGGGTGATTTTCTTGGTAAAGTACAATAAATTGTATAAGGCCCAGGAGCCTTGGAATTGCCTTGATTCACCTCGCTGAGGTTACTGCTATCATTTGCGGATGTTGATCTATTTTCTGGTTTGCTTGATTTTTCAACATAGTATACTCGACATTTTATTTTTCTTTCTCCCTTGCCATCCCTGAAAGGATGAGCTGAGTGGCATTTGACAACATCAACCATTTTATTATATACAGGCACACAATTATCATTATTCTTTTGGCTTTCTAAGGGGCTAATGGCAAACTGATTATTTTGGTTCTTGCTAGTATTGTCTTTTTCTTCTCTTTCTCCCAGAGATGGATCATTTCCTGAAGGACTTCTCCTTGAGAACACTGTAGCAGAAGGAATCACCAGAGCATCAAGGAAAGAATTATTCAATGCTGAGGAATCTTGTAGTGCATCTGATGGCTGACCTAATGGGTCACATGAGACACTGTGGCTGGCAACAGACCTGCTGTTGATAGAATAGGTGATGGTACATTGTTCTCCTTCAGAATCTAAAATAACAGGCTTTTCTGGAGACTGTGGGTTTTGATTATCAGTAGATTCAGCATTCCAGTGGTTATTTTTAATAATGCTGGAAATATCTTCATTATTTACTGTTAATTCCTGATGACAACCTTGATTTGGGCTGGGAAAAGATGGTGATGTTCTGCAGTCCTGAAGAAAAGGAGAGGATGTTTCTGAACCAAGTTTTCTGTTCCCAGAAAAACTCTTTTCTTTTTTAAGTTCATTGGCTTTATCTCTGTGTGATACGTAGATTTTGGAGATATCTTTCCTGGGAAGGACTCTGGGTGATCTTTTTGAACTTACTGTGGTAGATGTATTAAAAACAAACTGATTGTTCTCAGCTGAGTCCTGGGAGAGCGGATTTTGAAAATCAGGTAAGGAGTTAGAGATCCCTGTCTGTAAAACAAGTTGTGGTTGTTCACCTGTCATGTTTGCCTGGTCCATCTTGTTTAGTTGTTCGTACTTTTCTAAAATAGAGTTATTCAAGTCCTTCTCATTATTCCCTTCTGTGACCGAGATACTGGGTTGGCTTTCAGCAAGAGGTGGAGAATCAGTCGAATCACTGTTGCTCACAATGACTTCTGTATGGCTTCTTATTGGAAAACACACAGGTTTATTGGGAATAATTTCCTGCAAAGTGACTGTGGGATTCTGAAAACTGGAACTCTGAGGGTTCCCTTTGTCATCAGAAATCTGGGGGAAAGAAGTTTTGAATGAGGATGCTAAAGGCTGAGAAATTCCAAATGAGTAAGATTCTTTGTTTAAATGTACTTCTCTAGAACTGTCCTGTTGACATTCCAACCCACCAGATTTGGTATGATAGCTTGAATCAGTCATAGGGCAAGCATTTGGTGTGCTGAAATTAGGAGTCAACTGGTTTCCATTGTCTTGTGATAACTCCATGCTCTCCAGTGTGGATGTCTGAAAATCAACCTGCCAGGGACATGGCTCTTCTTGGTCTCTGGAAACATCTGGTCCATTACCAGGAGAAAATGATCCCTGGTGTTGAAAAGGGACACTACGGCCACGAGCATCTGATGCACTATTTGCAACAGTGGAAAGCATTTCAAAGTCTCTGTCAGAAGAAGTGAATGGTTTTCTGTTTTGATAAAAGTCAGACCAGGAAGAATGATCTTCCTGTTGGCCCCAAAAAGGACTTCGTCCAAATCTCTGTTCTCTGCCTCGTCCAAAGGTATTGCTAAAGAAAGACCTAGAGAATGGGTTGTCTTGATGGTAGAATGGCATATTCTCTGAGTTCTCGAACGGGTCAGGACTCATTCTATTGTCTATAGGGGCATTTAAACCAACACTTTGGTAAACACTCTGTGAATGGTAAAATTCATATATGCTATTCTGAAAACACCTGGGGTACATATATTGATCAGCAGGGTCAGTTTCCATAGGTGAGGGTGCCCTCAGGAACTCTTCCTGGTTCTGTCCATCTCTTGAAGAATCTGATCTATTCCATATGATGGATGATAAGCGAGTTCTTTTGGGGCTCTGCTGGTGGCTCTGTGGTATAAACCCAGTATTGTTCTGAGCTGTGGCTGGAAAATGTAAGCTTCTCGCTGTGAAATGCCTTGTGGCTGGTGAGGCTGACCGTTGTATGCTGTGAAAACAGAGAGAAGAACTACCAAAAGTATTCTTTTGAACATAACCTTCTTGGAAGACTCTGGGCTTCCTTGTCGTATACATATCATAAATTGTCCTTGTTCTAGGAAAAAAGGTGTTAGAACTTTCCCTAGGTGCTCCTGGTCTTAGGATGTCATAGATAGACATACTGGAAGTTTCATTATAGCGATTTTTGTGTCTTCCTGCGGTATTACCAGGTCTGTTCCCACTGGAGTAAAAACGACTGAACTGTGTTCTTGATTCATAGTTGACGGGCGTTCTGGTATTCACTGAGCTTGGAGATTGTTCCTGAGCCAGAGTGCTATCCAAGTCATCTAAAACTAAAAGGAGAATATGAGTCAATTTTTTTTTTTTTGTCTGAGATTTTTATAGTCTAACGATAATTTGAATTATTGAAGGACCTTCTTCAGGAAACATACTCATTTATAATTTTACTTACATCATACTATCGCAAACACGAATGCATTAATTTTGATTATTTTTTTTAAATAGTTTGATTTTAACAAGACTGGGATGGAAGCTGCTAGATCATACTTCTTTAAACAAAATAAACCTTCCATAATAACGTAAAGAGTTAAAACCTAATTTTTTGACAATTAATTTTAATCTTGGTTTCTTTTAGTGCATCTAAAGTGTACTAAATTTTTGTAAGACACGGCTGTAGTAATAAAGGGAAATTATAATAATGTAGATTCTAGTACTGGTTCTAACATTGAATAACTATGCAGCCACTGGTATTTTTAAGCCGTGTCTTTCTGTTTCTTTCAGGTTACTGTTGAGTTGATTGCGACTCATAGCAACCCTATAGGACAGAGTAGAACTGCCCCATAGGGTTTCCAAGCAGTAGCTGGTGGATTTGAACTGCTGGCCTTTTTGGTTAGCAGCCCGGCTCTTATCCACTGCGCCACCAAGGCTCCTCAGGTTACCAGGTTGCCAACTATGTCCACTTGTGTTTACCACATAGGATAGTAATGGAAATGAGGGTCTGTAAATAGTGTGTGACTTCTCAGTTGCATTGTTAAGAAAACAGTATGCCACTCCAGTGTTAACACTAAAGGCTTAACACCTAACTTATAAATATACTTATTTGGCTAGATTAGAGAAATACAGAAAATTAAAAGTTCTATACAACGTTGTTACATGATATGCTAATGATAGTGTTTTTCCTGAAAAAAATCAAGACCCATTAGCATCCTCATAATTTAGCACTTTCTATGTGTCAGGCCACAGGAGAAAGACGTGGCAGTCTGCTCCCATAAAGATTTACAGCCTCGGAAATCTTATAGGGCAGTTCTACTCTGTCCTATAGGGTTGCTATGAGTCAGAATCGACTTGACGGCAGTGGGCTCGATCCATCAGGCACTTAGTATATTAACTCATTAAATGCTTACACACCCTCCAAGGTTGGTACTATTATTATTCTCATTTTATAAATGATGAAATTGAGGCACAAAGAGATCCAGTAAGTTCCCAAGGTCACACAGCTAGTAAGTGGCAAAGCTGCAATTTGAACTGAGGCAGTCTATCTCCTGAGTCCAGGCACTCAATCACTGTGCAATGCAACCTCTGTGCCATAAAAGCTGGTGTTTCACGTTTTGCTTTTTTATGAGCTATAAAAACTTCACTAGGAGCTTATATGTTTGCAAGGTTGTGAAGTTGCTGTTGTTAAACAATGTTTACTTTTCTCTCAGTAGCAACATCAGAGGATGGTGTCCAAGTCAGGGCCTAGTGACCTCCTTATAATACTGAGGACCCAGGGTAAGCCAAAGCCCAGGGCTCATGCTTACTAGGCCACAGTCTCTGTGACCCCAGAGAAGTCACAGCACATTTTTAGCGACATGGTTGGTATTTCTGTGAATTGTGTGTCTCTAATCATATTTGACATTTTTTCCTAAAGAAAACCTGTTCAGATTTACAGAGAACAATAATTTCCTCAGGCCCAACTTGTGATAAATATATTTTATGATATTCAGGTTATAATGAATACAACCAGATTATTTATTGAAGAAACATTCATTAATTAAAATCAAATTCAACGTAGGTGATATGTGAGATTATTTAAATTGCTGAAGAAGCTTTCGGTTTACAGAAATCTTTCCTTCAGAACTACATAAAATGGTGTACTATCCTTGGTTATTTTAAATTATTTGCCATAAAAATATAGTTATTTTAACTCTATAATGACAGGGAAAGTGAGGGAGGCATGTCGGTATTTGAGTGCATGTAAATAGGATGTACATGCGACAGGCGCATTATATTAGGGTAGGTGTTAAAGGGGTCTTTGAAGTCTGTTCTGGACCTTCCCTGCCCTATTTTAGCTACAAGTTGGAGTCATCACATCTGTACAGCCAACAGAACTCAGCTTGAGCACTAAGGATTTTTAACTAAGGAATCCTCCAGGAAATGTTTTAATTAAAAACATATTTATTTGTCCTCAGTTTTTAAAATAATTTATTACCTACATTCCCAAATCAAATAACCAAACGATATATGACAGAGCAAAAGGAAAAAAAAAAATTAATGAGTCAAAATCTGTCTTTTAAACAAATTATAATAACACCTCTTTGAAATCTGTTCTCCCTCTCAAGCTGTTAATGGCTATTTTTTCCCCTCAGTAGTCTTTTTCTGATTATAAAAGCAATACATGTTCAATACATGCTCATAGGAAATATAACTATACAAGTAAAATCACCTGGAATCCTACCCAGGTGTAACCACTGTTAACATCCCCATAGCTGGGTTTTAAGTATTCAAGATCACTCAGAGTCCAAAGTTAACAATGCCGTTTACTGATTACCTGTGAGGTCGGAAAAATTCCTGTTCTGCTTCTCCTCTGTATTTTTAGAGGGGCCAAATCACTTCTTTCATTCCATAAACAGTGACCTTCCTCTTCAAACAAAACCTTTGCTTTGAAACAGAGATTTTCCTCTGGGTATTTTTTTTCTTTTTCTTTTTCTCTAAAGTAGATTCTCTGTGAGCAACCATCTTACTGAAGCGAGTCCTTAGGCTGACCATCTTGCTCAATGTCTGCCCAGCCCACCTGTCCTCCACTATGGGGTCCAGGTGATGTCACTGCCTTCGCAAAAGGAATTAGTTCTTCAGGGTGAATGACCTCTGAGTTAACTTTTCAAAGGGCCAGGCTTAATTTGACACATAAAGGTGAACTGTGCTCACATGATAATAAGATACATGTGTACATGGTACTTTTGGAATTTGTTCCAATCTTCATCATTATATATTATACCAGGTTAATTCTTTTATAATAATTAGATTTCATTACAGTGTATTTAGAAGCAATAAAAGTCTATTAAGAACAATAAAATTTATAGATATATTTCCAAAAGACATACTTCCTTTTTACCTGAGGTTAAATATTAAACATTAATGCTAATTCATGTATTTATTGGGGCTTGATCAGAGAATATTAGCTTAGATTATATTTAATCATAAGGTACTTTAAAATTTTGTTAGTAGCAGATAATAGCATCTTCTTCAGATAAGGTAAACAAGGGGAGTGGGAAAATAAAGTACAGGGTTTGCTATGTTTTGAGCATTTTAATGTAAACTGTAATTATTATTTGCTTCCATTACCACTGGGAGTTCCAAGGCAATTTAATGCATAGACTTACCACGGAAAAACTCATTCTCTAGCAGAGAAGCGTCCCATGGAGGCATGTCACTTCCCTTCCTCATGCCTGCTGGGTTCTGGACAAATGTACTGTCAACTGGTTGATTTTCCAGCGGTGAACTGTATATTTCTGCCTGCTAATTTTAAAGTAAAAAAAAACAACATCCTTTTTTTTTCTTTTAATTCTACAACCAGAATACTCACATGTTCCCCTAAAAAATGTCCCAAGCTTAAAAGTCCTAGTCTAAGGACTGCAAATCAATACTCCTGACATTTATTTCTCAACTTACAATGTTTTATCATTTTGGCCATTTGCAACTGGTCGGCAACTTCATCACATCTACATTAATTCTTTTTAGAATGAGACATTCAGGCAAGACACTCAGCCTCTCTGTGCCAACATTTCCTACAAATTTTACATAGCACTATACAAATCTTGCAAACGCTGCTGGTGTAGTGGTTAAGAGTCTGGCTGCACACAACTGGACTAAACCACAGCTAAGAAGTTTCCCAAATACAACCAAACACTTTGAGGGACAGAGTAGCAGGGGTAGGGGTCTGGGGACTATGGTTTCAGGGGACATCTAGGTCAAGAGGCATAACAAAGTTTATTAAGAAAATGTTCCGCATCCCACTTTGGTGAATGGCATCTGGGGTCTTAAAAGCTAGCGAGCAGCCATCTAAGATGCGTCCATTGGTCCCAACCCACCTGGAGTAAAGGAGAATGAAGAACACCATAGACACAAGGAAAGGATTAGCCCGAGAGACAGAAAGGGCCACATAAACCAGGGACCTCATCAGCCCGAGACCAGAAGAACTAGATGGTGGCCGGCTACCACCAATGACCGCCCTGACAGGGAACACAACAGAGAGTTCCTGCTGGAGCATGAGAAAAGTGTGGTGAAGAACTCAAATTATAGTAAAAAGAACAGACTTAATGGTTTGATCGAGACTGGAGGGACCCTGGAAGACGGCCCCCAGACTCTCCGTTAGCCCAAAACTAAAACCATTCCCGAGCTCAACTCTTCAGACAAAGATTAGACTGGACTATGGGACATAAAATGATACTCGTGAAGAGTGTGCTTCTTAGCTCAAGTAGACACATGAGACTAAATGGGCAGCTCCTGTCCAGAGGCGAGATGAGAAGGCAGAGAGGGTCAGGAGCTGGTTGAATGGACACGGGAAATCCAGGGTAGAAAGGAGGAGTGTGCCGTCACAGTATAGGGAGAGCAACAAGGGTCACATAACAATGTATGTATAAATTTTTATATGAGAGATGAACTTGAATTGTAAATTTTCACTTAAAGCACAACAATAAAATAAAATAAAATAAAAATAAAAAGAGTTTGGCTGCTAACCAAAAGGTCAGCAGTTTGAATCCACCAGGCGCTCCTTGGATACCCTATGGGGGAGTTCTACTCTGTCCTATAGGGTCACTATGAGTCGGAATCGACTCGACGGCAGTGGGTTTGGTTTTTTTTTTGTTTTTTTATACAAATCTTGTTGGGGAGGTGTTCCTGGAAAACAGGAACGAAATCAACCTCTCTGGAGTTGGAAGTGTTGTCTCCACAGCCCCAGTGGCTGAGATTTTGGATTTCCTAACACTGTACCTATTCCATCAAGGGCCTACTAGCTGGAGCTTGCAGTGGATCTTAAGACTTGTGGACTTGGATGAATTTAGAAAAAAGACCTTCTATCCACAGAGTTCATCTGGAATGGTAGAAACACTTGTCTTCCCCACCAATCATAAGGAGCTGATTAATAGCTCTGAAACAAAGGCACTGAAAAGTATGACTTCATAAACTGAAAAAAAAACAAAAATACATTTCTAGTTTTAGGGGATTTAGGAGAATAATATAGACCTAAAGTTGTTTTCTTTTCTTTACTAGCTTATGTTTATCTTGATTTCATCAAACCCAATTACTGCCCTACTTTAATTTGTCTTCATATCCTTGGGGGAATTATGCACTCCCACACCTTCACTCTCTTTTGCCAAAACTCCATTTGCTTTTCCTCTGTCAAAATGGCTCTGTGGCTCTCATGACTCCCATCCCTGAACAAGACTAGCAGCCACTTCCCAGTCCAGTTTCTTTATTTTCAGTTCACTCTGCCACCCAGTCCATGCCTCTTGAATCCCTTCCTTCCCAAGTTTTCCCTTTCCACTTGATGTTCGCCATTATACTTTACCTGACCTTTAATGCCTAAGACCAAATGTCAAATCTTTCCATAACTCCCACTTTTATTTCTCCATCACAGATCTGTCTGATTCTAACGTCCAGGTTCTCTTAGCCACTACATTCTTCACAATCTAGTATTTTCATTCTTGCTTGTTCTCTTTCTCAAGGTCTAGGTCAGTTATTTCTTTTTAATTTTATTTTGTTGTTGTTGTTGAGAATATACACAGCAAAACATACATCAATTCAACAGTGTCTACATGTACAATTCAGTGACACTGATTACATTCTTCAAGTTGGGCAACCATTCTCACTCTCCTTTTCTGAGTTGTTCTTCCCCTATTAACATAAACTCACTGCCCCCTAAGTTTCCTATCTTTGGAGTTGCTGTCAATTTGATCCCATATACATAGATCTTGAAAGACCACAATGCTCAAGGCAGACATTCTTTACTAGTTAAGCTAAACTACCGTTTACTTTTAAGAAGACTTCAGGGGATATTTTTGGTTTAAAGTTTAAAGATTATCTCAGGACATTAGTTTCAGGGGTTCAGCCAGCCTCCATGGCTCTAGAAAGTCTAGAGTCCATGAGAATTTGAAATTCTGTTCCGCATTTCCCTCTTTTGATCAGGATTCTTCTATAGGTCAGTTATTTTTTATAAAAGCCCTGCCCAAGTTTCTTTCTGTGATTTTCAGTTTTATGGACAAGTCATAATTGAATACCCACAAAGGAGATTTATTAATAAGAAAAAAAACCTCCAATGATAATTTATTGGTCATTGGATATAATTTAACACACTAATATAAAATTCAGAGGTTAACAGACATTACAGGGAAAATACAAGCACGTGAGATACCAACTACAGGTAATAAAAACATTAATCATTTGAGAAACCAGATCAGCTAAAGTTCTTTTCACTCTAAAGTGTCTCAAGGTGTTCTCTTTTGTGCCCTGCCTACTGTCTCCCCAGGTCTTTATTTGTGCTAATAGCAATTATTATGGATTTTACAAATCCATTCTTCCCAAATCTGCGATTTTGGCAGTGAGTCAGAGTGGATACATCTGACTAAGAGATTACCAAGTGCCATTATTTCAACTATTTTAACACCCAAACAAATAACTACTGTGGAACGTACAGAACTGAGGCTCAGGTGAAGAGATGAATCTCTCTAAGCTGGGAAGGACTACTCCCATCTAGAGACTCTGAATACAGCTTTGGTTATACTTCTGCCCAGATTCTCTGCTGTAAGACCAACTCTACTCATTCAACATGTTAAGAAGGCTTCCAACATGTAAATTATATGGATAACTAAGAGAAAATATTGAGAGTTTATTTACACTCAATTTTAATTCAGCAAAGATATTTTTTCTAGTGATGAACTGTTTAAAAAAGTAACTGCTAGTGAATGGTGGAGCCCTGGTGGCTCAGTGGTTGAGAGCACAGCTGCTAACCAAAAGGTCAGTAGTTCAAATCTACCAGCAGCTCCTTAGAAACCCTATGGGGCAGATTCTACTCTGTCTTATAGGGTCACTAGGAGTTGGAATCAACTCAACAGCAACGGGTTAGTCAATGGTAGGTACCAGACATAAAGACTGAATGCAACCATTGCTCTATACACCTTCTTTATTTAAGTTATATGTGAGATATTATTATTATTAGCAGCAGTGACTAAACATTGATTATTCTAGACTATGTGCTAAGGGCTTTATACGGGTTATTTTAATTCATTATTTTAACAATCCCTATGGGATTGCTACTACTATTATCCCCATTTTGCACTTGAGAAAACTGATGCTTCAAAAGGTCTGGTCATTTGCCTCAGGTCACAGTGGTGGAGGGAAAAGATTCCATCCTAGTCTGTCAGATTCCAGAGCCCATGCTGAATCACCTCACTCTACAGTTGATCAAGTTTTGCAGCTCTTGGTTTATTGCATACTATATCTATGAGTTGGAATCGACTTGATGGCAACAAGTTTGATTTTTTTTTTGGTTTATATCCTAGCAGTAGGCATCCTCTGAGGCCAAATACAAGTTTTAGAGCTCCATTTGAAGTTTCCCTTTACCTACAGCAGAGATAAAAGCGTCTGGGCCCAAAGCAGATACTGAGCATCATCAGCCAGGGCTCAGTCTCGGACTCAGAATCCTCCTCAAAACATGCTCTGTGCTGTGGAGTTGGCATAGAGGATAACATTAAAGACCTTTACGGAATAAAATCTGTTAACATCCTTTTGATTTTAGCCTTTCCTCCCCCACTCTCTTCAGATGTTCCAAGCTCACTGCACACACTTCTCCAAAATGCCACGCGCTTCTAGGCCTCCATGTCTCTGCGTTAGATCTTTGCTCTTTCTCCTTTTCTTCTCCTGGAAAACAGTGACTGTCCTTCAGAGTCCAGTTTATATATGCTGTCTCTGTGAGCCCTTCTCCAACTCTCCCAGGCAGAATTAATTCCTATAGTATTTTTTTTAATTGCGGTGAAAATATAACAAAACACTTGCTAATTTAATATTTTTTTACATGTACAAGTCAGTGACATTGATTACATTCATGTTATACAACCATTACCACTATTCTTTTCCAAATTATTTCACCACCATTAACAGAAACCCAGGGTCCCCTAAGCAATGACTCTCCCTTCTCCCCTCCTGCCCACTGCTGGTTACCACTAATAAGCTTTGGTTTCTATACATTTGCTTATTTCATATAGGTGGGATTGTACAATATTTGTTCTTTTGTGACTGACTCGGCAGAATGTTTTCAAGGTTCATCTATGTGGTTACATGTGTCAAGACTTCATTTCTCTTTACAGCTGAGTAATATTCCATATTGCAGACATACACCACATTTTCTTTATCCATTCATCTGTTGATGGACATTTCAGTTGTCTCCACCTTTTGGCTACTGTGAATAGTGCTGCAATGAACACTGGTTATACAGATTTCTGTTTGTGTTTCTGCTTTCATTTGTTTTGGGTCTATACCTAGAACTGGGATTGCTGGTTATATGGTAGTTCTATGTTCAACGTTTTGAGGGACCACCAAACCGTTTTCCACAGCAGCTCTACCTTTGCACTCCCACCAGCAATGAATGGATGGGGGTTCCAATTTCTCTACATACTCACGAACACCTGTTATGTTCCTTTTTTTTTTTTTTTTTAATCATTGCATTTTAGTAGGGGTGAGGTGGGAGCTCACTGTGGTTTTGAATTTTTATCCATCTCTGGTGTTGTACTTACTATGTCATATTGAAAGTTGTTTACATTATTTCCATTTCTACCTTACCACTAGCCTTCCCTTCCTTCCTTCCTTCCACAAATTTCAGTTCCCACTCTGTTCTAGGTACTGTGCTAGGCACCAAGAATTCAAAAATAAGTTAATTTTTGACCCTGGAAGTGGACCAACTTCTAAAATGACTAAGAAAGTATTCTACTTTGTATCCTGAGCACCTAGCGTGACCCATAGAGGATAAAGAGATTGATTGATATTGATTGTATTAAATTCCAAGACTACTCTTACCATAATAATATTTCTTTCTGAGCTTCTCTAACACATTTTTGAACACTATTTTGGTACTGAATATCTTGTATTTGAATAAAATTACTCATTTATTCAGTTTTCAATATATACTCTTTCATACACTCTCTCATTTGATCTTTACAACAAATTTTTGAATTGGGTAGGGATTTGTCATTCCCAATACACAAATGAGAAAACTGAGTCTCAGGTAAATGCCTTACTCAAGTCACATGAAGATATATGGTGGCACTGGGTACTGACACTCATATGATCTGGACTCTAGTCCTGCTATCTCCACTATATTGCTTTGTCCTATTTTACTAATGTGCATATCTTTTCCAGTTAGATAGTAAACTATCTGCAGAGAAGCACCTTGCTTTAAACATTCCAAGCCCTCCACTGCATGTGGTGTGATACTTTGCACATATTTACAAATCGACTTATAATATACACGGAAGAAAACTACATACATGAGATTTCTAGTAGGGATTAATACAAGAACTAAGACTCACCGAAAATTTACAATATTAGGACTCAGAGGCAGGATAGCATAGTGGTTAAGCACATGAGGTCTACACTGGTTCAAATCCTGGTTCTGTCCCTTAATCGCTGTATGACTTTGGATAAGTTACTTAACCCCTCTGTGCCTTAGTTTCTTTCTCTGTTAGATAAAAATAATAATTACACTCACTTTATAAGGTTGCTGTGTGGATTAAATGAATTAATAGATGTAACGCATCTTAGAATGGTGTCTATAACTTAATTAGTCCTCGTTGTTAGCTATTAACTGTGGTTTTGTGGTTCTAGAGAATGTCCCTGGAGGACTCCTGCTGATGCTTACAGCCTAATGAGCTGGAAAGGTGTCCCACAGGATTAGAGGCCAGAGTCTTGAAATGGTGGCTTTCTGGATCTCAGTTATATTCTCAAACACAGTACATAAAATAGGCTGAACAAAATGAGTCCCCTTATGCAACTTCAATTCACTCTACCAATACTGTCAGCAATTCTGACATGACTAGACAACCAAACCTTCTGTCACAGAGTAACCTCAGAATATTTGTGAACTTCCTAGAGCAGCCAAACCTGCAGAACAGCTGTTGGAGTTTGAGCCGAAGCTCACCGATGTTATCAACGGCCTTGGTAAAGTCAACAGACTAAATTTCCAGGGTGTTTCCGTATTTGTTCTGTGTCTGCTTTCCCACAAAGATCACATCCACCAATCCACCTTGTGGCTTAAAACCACTCATTCATTTCTTCTTTCAATCACTGAGGGCTCAGTGTATTCCAGGCAGTGGGGACACACAGGTGACACAGTCCCTGCTTTAGGGAGCTCACACCAGCCCAGACGATGAGCCCAGTATGATAAGCGCCATGTTGGAGCTGTGCTTCTAGGGGTATGGTCTAACTGTAAGCCCAGCCAGCATTTGTTCAGAGATGAGGAGCAATTAAGTGGCCAAAGCCATTTGTTTTGCCTCTATTCTCAAAGATGGCAACTATGTTGACTTTGAATTCCTCACCAGTAAGGAGATGGTTCTCAACTGTGGACACCTGGCAATGTCTGGAGACATTTCTGATTGCTGCAATTGTGTTGGGGAGAGTTTCTGGCATCTGATAATTAGAGGCCAGGGATACTGCTAAACATCCTACAGTGTATAGGCTAGCCTCCACAACAAAGAATTATCTGGCCCCAAATGTCAATAGTGCCCAGGTTGAGAAATCCTGGATAGATGATCTCTAAGTTTCTTTATAGCTCTAAAAATTCTATGTCTTCTGAAATCCATTGCTTTAAGTTTATGCAAATATTTAAATAGCAGCTTTCTTCTTTCCTGAGTGGAAGGTCATCCAATAACATGTACAGCCTCCCATAAAGTGCTAGAATCCCCTTTGTCCATTCTTGCCAGGCTACTGGTCATGTGATGGGAAGTTCATTACTTCAGATCTTGGTAAGAATCTCTGTGGCATTAATGGCCAACTTCTAGCTCTTAGTAGGCTAAGAGGACAGGGCTTTTGTGAATAATGGAAATCTACCTGTCACACTGAACCCTTGTTTTAGACAGTAATTTCATTATTTTCTCTCTCCTTTTTATATTAACTATCAACTAGAAGCAAAAATCACTGGCTTGAGTTTCACTTTCATTTTCTCAGCTCTCATCCTTTGGATAAAGATATGGTTAAACGCACTCAGCATATCAGGAGCATCAAAGAAAGTTATCTACTAAGCCTCAGACTAGATTTTCAATTCCCAAGAACTTCAATTAGCTCTACCATTTTATAACTTCTAGGGGGTTCCATTTCTTTTTTACATTCCCCATCTGTTTTAGGCTCCATGGCTCTCAGATGGTGGAGGATGGTTAGCTCCAAGCACTTCTCCAGGGAAAAGAGAACAGAAGCATCCAGGAGCAGGGCTCTGTCCTACTTAGAGAGCAAAGGCTGCATGCAGACAACATGTCACTTCAATCCACCCTCACTTAAAGAGGAAAGTCTGTTTTGTACAGGCAATGAGCAACTGTGGCCCATATGCAAACAGGGCTCCAGGGCTGTAGGCATTGTTGACTTCTGGCTGTGGACTTACAGAGACCTGGGTTTTCTAATACTGGCTCTACCATTTACCAGTGTGACCTTGAGATGATCTTTGAATTAACCTCAGTTTCTTCATCTTTAAAATGAGGTAATGACAGTACCTACTTCATAGATTTTCTATCAGGATTAAAAGAAATGATACATGTCAAGTGGCTGGATAATAGTAAATTCTCAATTAGAGTGTAGCAGTTGTTGGTGCTAGTGTCATTGTTGGGGCTTAAACATATGTAGGAGAGAGAAAAAGATTAATGTTATTATCTGGAAAAAGCAGCATTACTCTGAAGAAAAAAGGAGGCTCATTTTTGTTTGTGAAGTCAAGACCCTCTGTTTACAAGCACTCCTTACCAGAATGATACTCAATGCTTTTTGTAAAAGAGAGAAAGGTAGGTATCAGTTACTAAAGTCATGATAACTTGAAAAATTCCTCTTTCTTCCTATTCCACTCTTAAGTCCCTTCCAAAACTCTCTACCTTTCTATTATCTCCAACCACAGGAGTTACACGAAAGACACAGGTAGATCAAGAGTTATGATCATGAAAAAGCAAGGAACAGAAAATTTATAGTTTCTCATTGTCACTAGCATATGAACACATTGATAAATTTAAATTTAAGCCTTTGGTGGAAGGTCATTTTGGCTCGGTCCTTTCAGTCAAATGCTTCTCATCTATCAGTGGCTTCTTCTTTGAATACAAATGATGATCAGATCCAGAAAGGCCAGCCCAGAACCACGCTTGCTAGCAAAAGTGGCAGCAGCTGCCTCTCACCTCTTCCTATGCCCAACCCTTTAGGACTGTGTGAGTGACACATGGTAAAATATCAGAGATACCACTGATCGCATGAATGGAAGCACATTCTTTCCTGGCAGAGCCTCCTGTTTGAGCATTTCAGTACCAGATCCAAATGGAAACCAACCACAACTGGGAAAGTTTGGACTCCCTAGGCGAAGCCTAAGCTTGTAAAGTAAATTTAAAACTGAGCCAAGGGGAATCCTATTTAAATAGGTAGCCAGCTTGGGATTACATAAATTTTGAATTCCATTGCCAAGTAGCCCTTTAAAACTTTTAGTTCTCTGGTTACTTACCCCAGCAGTTCCCCTCACAGACACAGGAGGTCCTGCAAGGCCACCACATCTGTGGAAAGAATTTGAAATAATTTCTTTGAAGAACAGCCTAAGTTTTACCAGAAGGAAGATCAACAGCACCTTTGCTATTATATCTTGATATGTTGAAATGACATATTTTTAATGCTCTGTAGGAAGACATTTTTTGGTTAGTGCATTGTTGAAAAAAAAATCAGAAGCAATGTTTTACATCTTTGTCACTCAGGTAGGCAAGAAAAATTTACAGCAGAAAAACATAATACACCTTCTCCTCACTTATCAACATGATTAGATTCCAAAGACCAGGTTATTGTGCAAAATTGGCATTATGCGAAAAATCGAGTGTCCGTTTCTTCCTTTTCAAACACTTATACAAGTCTGTACCATCAGTGGGACAGCAGCTTCCCAATAACCCCAAGAGGTGGAAAATGCAGGTGGGTGCTATATGTACCACTGGTCATGTTAATGCACAAAATAGTCGGATAGTAGAATTTTCACTATTGTCGTAAATGCCAAATGTTGGATAACGAGACAGTCGATAAGTGAGGGGAAGGTATAACAAAAAATCGTTACAGTTGTTAAGTGTTTACTATGAGTCAGGCACTATTCTTATGTCTCTGTGCATGTTACTCATTTAAGTACTCACATAACCCTGTGAGATGGGTGCTATTACCACTCCCATTTTACAGATGAGAAGATGGAGGTGCAAAGAAGTTAGAATAGAGGTTAAGCCAGAAGTTGCCCACAGACTGCCTGAATCCAGAACCCTCCTTCTTAACCAGTGTGGCACACTGACTCTTCTTCCAAATGAAAAATAGAATTTCTGTTCCTGTGTATTTTGATTTTAAAGAGAGGTTAAGTCAGGAAGAGACTCAATAACTCACAAGGGAATTCTTAAAAAACCAAACTTTTCAAAATGGCTTTGATGTGTTTAATTTTATAAAGCTGCCTTACTGATTTTGAAACCATCTTGGAGGTGAACAATTCTGCTTTTAATATTCATGTTGCTTCTCTCAGATTCAGTGAAAAGGTGAAAAACAAGACATAGGTCCAAGATTGAGATAGATTTTGATCTTTAAATCTATAATCCTATGCCAAGAAGAGCTCTGCTTGAATTATAGCAGAAGTTAATAGACCATAATGACCCAGAGCTCTGTGTGAAATCAGGTCCATTCTTCCACTAAGATAACTGTCAAGGGAATCAAGAGTTAAACTAACTGGGACTCTAGGTCAGATCCGTCAAAAGCGGCAAGGCGCCGTTGTCCTTCATTGAAACTCATAGCTGTTTCATAGCTCACAAAAGGTGAGCATAAGACCTGAGAGGCCAAACAATTTAATATTTTTAAAATAACCCTAGGTATTTTATAGTTTAGCTCACATTTTAAACAGAAATTGAAATTAATATCAGAGATTTTTTTATATTACTCTGAAATACAAGCTCTTCTAATATCTAGAAGTTAAATGCTGCTTTTATTTTTATTCTTCCTTTCTGTTCACCTTTATTGAGCCTGCATTTCTCATATATGCGAGGTACCATTCTGAGCGCTTTGGAGAAAACAAATATGACTGAGATGGGGCCCTATTGCTGCTGTTGAGTCGACTCCAACTCATGGTGACTCCATGTATATCAGACTATAACTGTGATCCACAGGGTTTCCAGTGGCTGATTTTTTGGAAGTAGATCACCAAGGCAGTATTCCAAGATGCCTCTGAGTAGACATAAACTTCCAACCTTTTGGTTAGAGGCTGAGCACATTAACTCTATGCACTACCCAGGGACTCCTCAAATATAAGCTAAGATGTGATAAAGACTATAAAGACATGTAACAAAAATGCAGAGTTCCTGGGTGGTACAAACTGTTAACGCACTCAATTGTTAACCAAAAGGGTGGCAACCCAAGTCCACCCAGCTACGCCTTGGAAGAGAGGCCTAGTGATCTACTTCCAAAAAATCAACCATTGAAAACCATATGGAACACAGTACTACTCTGACACAGAGTAGAACTTGAGATGCCATGAGTCGGGGTTGACAGCAACTGGTTTAAGGAAAAAGGCTGGTAAGTACTTCCTGAGGATGGAAGGTGATAAGGAGAAGCTGGCAGCTGAACTGGTATGCGAGGCCAAAGAACAGCATGAGCAAAAAGCTTGGAGATGGAGACAGCAAGGGAGGTTGGTAATTGGCAAGTAATTCAATTTTCCTGGAGCTAAGAAAACATGCCCTTCGTGAAGATTCTTTCCAGAGCCTGTTGTTAAGCTGCGGCCCAACACTCTCACCAGCTCATTAAGCCCCTGTCAGATTTGGAATGAGGGCAGCAGGGGCAGGAATCAGCTTCCAAGAGTGGCAGGTGGGTGGAAGATGCAACTTTAGAGGATACCTGGAGCATAATTGGGGCCCTGGTGGCGCAGTGGTTAAGAGCTATGGCTGGTAACCAAAAGGTCAGCAGTTCAAATTCACTAGTCACTCTTTGGAAACCCTATAGGGCGGTTCTACTCTGTCCTATAGGCTCACTATGAGCCAGAATCGACTCGATGGCAATGGGTTTAGTTTTGGTTTTTTGGAGCACAATTGGGACATAGTGTCACCAAATGTGAAGCTGTGCAGCAAGTGTAAGGATGCACACTCACCTGAGGGTGTGCATGGCCATGTGTGCTACTGTGGATTTCAGTAGGAGGGTATAGGACTCAGCTGACTTGGAGGTCCAGAGTCCCTGTACCCATTCCCAGGTTCTCCTAAAAATTAGTTTATGTTTCTGATGTGAACACCTTCCCCTTGTGGAATGAATAAAAGGGACAGTGGCACCATGAAAGCTGTGCTGGTAAATGTCTTCCAGACCTGATGATTTCAAAGGATACAAGGATGGCTTAGAAAGAGCATTTTCAATAAAGTGGGTGCTGGAGCTCATGGAAGGAACAATCCAACTCCCTGGGGTTCTTTAACCTCCTCGACTCAGCAACTCTTCCCTGTATCCACACCTTGGGCCTGAGCACCACTCACACTGCTCCATTTTAAGATCTGAAGCACTAATAGCCCATTCTCTGACTACAATCTTTCATTCCATTACTCCAACTGTAATTGTTCTTTGACTTCATCAAGACTGCCCTTCAGCATACAAGCAGGAAATGAGCGGCACATTCAAATGGAATAACTGAGCAGTTTTACTGAAGGGTTAAGTTTGATGGAAGGATGGAGAAGTACTCTAGGGTTCGTAGGAGCAGAAAAGGGCTTTAAAACCCCTAAGCCAGAAGGAATAAGGGGAAAGAAGAGGTACTAGAATGTGAAGAGAGAGCTGTAGCCTTAGGAAAGAGCCACTACACAGGTGCTGTGGTCTTCAGTAGAGGAAGTTGGCCAACCTCCCTCCCTTCCTAAGGAGGGAGCCTGGAAATAAATACCTGGAATGCACTCTTCTCCTACATGCATTCTCCAGCTGGTTCTCCCATTGGTCAGACCAAACAGAAAGCCAGATGCCAAGGGAGACTGTAGATGTTACCCACAGAAGATCAACAGAGCAAGGTGGGGAAGGGTGGAGAGAGGATCTGGATGGCCAACAGAGAACATGCACCGTGACTTCTCCCTCCACTTTTCCCATTCATCAGCTCCGCCCTAAGGAGATTTCCTGTTCTGTCTAAATTAGACAACCATACCCCATCAGTCTAACACACATTCCAGCATTCTTATCTCCCTCAGCTCCTTTGCTTTCTTGATCCCCAACTTAGGGTCAACCCGTTTGCCTTCTTTGTTTCTACAACTGGGGAGCTGAAACCTTTTAGAATAAAGTTATATTGTCCTGGTGACTGAATCTAGTATAATTTTTTAGGGGAGGGTCTTAATACCATTGAAAATTCTTTTCCCATTTCTAGTTAAAGTTTACCACTCTTGAGTGTCCTTTCGCTTTAAAGGTGACCTTGCCTCTTATATCACAGAAGAAATTGAGTCATTACATGGGATAAAAGTATCTGTTGAGAGTGACCTGAAAAGTATGAATAGAAAGTTTGAGAGTAGAAAAGACATAAAATAGTTATTTCAGAGAATGAAAAAAATGTAGTGAGGTTGCCAGGTATTTCTAATTGCCTTTTTGACATTGGTGATATGAATTAATTAGTAACACCAGCCTTCCTAGTTGTGTAGTTTTTCCAGCAACTCTCATCTGCTTGCTTAGATGCAGTCATGGTACAAGAAAATGTCAGGTTTATTCAGGTGAGTTCAAGGTATTTTCAAGAGTGTGATTATAACGATAGATGAAAGGCTGTAAATGGTATCGAGAAAGAAGTGAACACTGCAGAGGTAGAGAGAGAGAGAAAAAAAAGGAGGGGCTTGGTGGTCCCAATGGGGTTGTCAAACTATTACAGTGGGAGCACTTCACCAAGTGAGTTGGGAAGATATGAGGTTTTGGTTGAAGTTTGAGATGTTTGCATTAGTCACAGAGTTTCTTAGAAGTTTAGTTTCTTAGAAGCTACATTTCTCAAGGTTTAGTTTATAACCCATTGATGTCAAACTTGGCCATGTCACTTACTTTGTTAATCAATGTGAGTAGAAGTGACCTGTCTCACTTCCCTGCAGAAATTTTAAGAGTGAATCTATGTTCGGAAACTCTGTATGTTTGCCATGTCTCTTCTTTCCCTCCCTAAGTTCCCATTTTCTTCCTTCCCATGATGCTCCCCAGGGGTCTACTGCTTCTCCTTTCAACTTACACACTTTCCCTTGAATATTTTATTAATTTCTACATCTTTAACTGCTACTTATATACTGATGGCTCCCAAATTCTTAACTTTAGATTAGATTTCCCTTCCTGAGTTTCAGGCTTCTCCACTCAACTGATGAGCTTACACCTTCATTCAGATATCACAAACTCATCATGTCTTCACTAAGCTTCATCAAGAAACCTGGAAGTCATTCCTCTCTCTTTGTACCTCATCTTCTTCATTCATTCACTCACAAATCCTATTGATGCCATTTCTTAAATGTCTCTGCCACATATCCCCACTTCCCCATCTCCACTCTTTCCGTTTTATTTATATCAAACTTTCACAGTT